CCAAATAGATGACAACAAAATCATCAAGGTGCTCCCGAAAGATGTCATTCATCATATGTTGAAAGATCGCTAGAGCATTGGTAAGACCAAAGGGCATGACATTATACTCAAAATGGCCATACCTTGTACGAAACGTTGTCTTCCACTCATCTCCTTTCTTGATTCGTATGAGGTTGTAAGCTCCCCTTAGATCAATTTTTGTAAAGATCCTCGCACGTCTAAGTTGTTCTAAGAGACCAAAAATCAAGGGTAATGGGTAACGGTTCTTCTTTGTTACCTTGTTGAGGCCGCGATAGTCCACACATATTTGTAATGAGCCATCTTTCTTCTTTACAAATAAGATGGGTGCCTCATCTGGCGATTTTGAATGACAGATGAAGTTCTTGGCTAGATTCTCGTCAATATATTTCTGCAACTCCGCCAATTCTCTTTGCGATAGATTGTAGATTGGGCCAAAAGGTGGTTGTGCTCCTTCTTGCAAGTCTATGGCACAATCATATGGTCGGTGTTTTGATAGCATGTCAACATTCTTCTTTTGAAACACGTCTTCAAAATCCTTGTATTGCTCTGGTATACTTGCTGTTGAGATCTTCTCTTCGATAGTTGGAGCCGCATAAATGATAAACGGTGTACCTTCCTTGGACGATCTTACAAATGCTCTTACTTCAATGAATAAGGATTTCTTTATTCGGGGTCTTCTACTAGGCTTGCTCTTGGGTGGTTTTGTGGAAAAGATCATCTTTCGCAACCTCCAATCTATGGATGGATTATACTTTTCTAACCAGGAAAGACCAAGAATAACAGGATTTGATGGGATTCTAATAATATTGAAAATAATATTACTACTATGGCCCTTAAACGTTACTTCTATAGGTTCTGATTCATGGGTGACATTACCAGATAATAAAGGTCGCCTATCTATGACTTCAACGTGAACAGGTTTGGATTTTTGTACTAAAAAGATCTTATGATGCTTTGCAAATTCTTTGTCTAAGAAACAAGTAGATGCTCCTGAATCTAATAGTGCTAAGGTTCTTAGTTTTTGAGGGCCAATAAACAAAGGGATTGTAAAACAAAGGGCAAGTTGAGCAGAAAGAAAGGAACCTGGTTGTTGTTGTTGCAATATTTCACTGTCCAGCCGCACGGTTCCTATTGTGGCTGGGCATCCTCGTTTTCCTGAATAAATGCACCCCTAGTCTTGACAGTGCGTTGATTTTGCTTCTTGGGACAATTTTCAACTTTGTGGCCTTCTCCACCGCAATATAAACATAGACCTTCCTCCATACGTCGCTTTTTTTCTTCTAGAGTAAGGGATTTGACACGTACTGCATCAATTTGCATGTCTTCCACCTCTGAATGTGAATTCACGCTGCTTGCCAACATAGTTGGGGCGTGGCGAATCGTATGTTGTCTTAAGCGTTGGTCTTGGTGACGTTGGAATAGGCGGTTATCGCACTTCATAACTTGGCTAATAGCTTCGTTGAACGTTCGTGAATCAGGAAGAGTTAACAACAAATCCTTCACATCATCCCTTAAACCCCAATAGAATTGATTCATCAACGCTTCTTCGTTCCAATTGATATTGCATGCTAATTGCCTGAAATCCGATGCATAGACTGATGTAGAGTGTATTCCTTGTCATAGTGACCGGATCTTCGTTGTGGCCCATCGAACCTTGTCGTGTTCACCAAATGCTTCCCCAAACGCCTCCAAAAAGGTTTCAAAGTTGTTTAGTATGGATGATCGTTTCTCAAACAAAGGAGCAAACCATGATAGAGCTTGTCCCGTAAGTAAGGTTCCAACAAGCCCAACACGTGACTCCTCTGTTGGATAGCGTTCGGGCTGTAAAATTGTTATCAGCCTGATTTGGTTGACAAATCCTCAAAACTTGGAATGTGTACCATCGAACTTGTCCGAAAGACTAACTTGGGGCTCCTTATGTTATAGAACCAGCGGTGCTTGTCGAACTTGGGGTAAAGTTGCTTCTCCAAGTGTAGAAGTTTGAGGCTGGTACAACCTAGATTGTACCATCTCAGATGCTCCATCATTATGAAGCCTTGCTACAACTCCTTCAATCTCTGCAGTTCTTTGCGATAACGAAGCGAGGGCATTCATGATAGCATCCAACTTGGACTCTGAACTTTCTGTTATACTAATGTCTTGGCCTCCGGTCATTCTAAGAGAAGGACAGAAATGACTCTACAAGAAGGCAATATTGGCTTAGAAGAAGGTACTCCGCAACCTCTAAAACGCCTTAAGAGCTTCAACAAAAGGGGTAATCTACTCTCTCCAAGAAGAATAAGACTCCAATATTGTAACAAAAGAAGTATCAGTTTAGAGGAGGGTAATCCACAACCTCTAAAACGCTAGTACACCTTCAAGCAGAGGGGTAATCCACACTGTAACGAGAAAGAAACTAGCTCTGATAACTGAGGTGAATGCAGTCTCGATAAACTATCACAGACACAGAAATACAAGCTCGAAATCTAACAAGAAATTCAAAAAGAACTAGCAAGAACTAGATTAATTAGATGAGTACAATAACAACACCTGAGAGGTGAGCTAGAGCTCTAAGAGATGTGTTGTCGAGATTGAAGAACTCTTCAGCCTCGATTCCAATATATACTCCTATTTAGAAAGCTTCTCAAGCAACTTCTACCAACTAGGAAGCTTCTCAAGCAACTTCCACCAACTAGAAAGCTTCTCAAGTAACTTCCATCAAACTAAAAAGCTTCTAGAAGGTTCCAGAGACTTGTTTCTAGAAGGTTCTAGAAACTTGTTTCTAGAAGGTTCTAAGGACTATGTCCCTAACACAAACACATAATGAAATCCATAGTCATTTACTCCCAACATGTCGTAGGTAGCGGAATTGGCTACAATAATCTAGGAAAGGCTTCATTGCGAGCTTTATTATGTTAACATGACTTGTAGGAGCGTACAAAGGTTCAAACATCATGATCCAAACATGTCCAAAACTATGTCCTTGAAATCCGTTTTGAAGTCTTTTCTTGCCCCAAATGTCCAAATATTGGGATGTCATGTCTTTCTTGAAGTATGCACGGCCGAAGTATAGCATTGTCAAGTACATAAATCTACTTTTTGAAATAGAGCAAGCCATCACTAAGAATATAATCTTGATAGTGTATATTACCCATCTTTAGTTGATCACTAACCATCTTGAAATAAGCATTCCAATGCATAGCTTCCTTCCATTCTACCTCTTTGGTTAGATTTGAAATGATACTACTAATGATAGCAACTTCTACTTTGAATACCCTTCTTAATATCAATATTCAAAGTCCAAATAATTAACCAGGTGATAATTGTAAAAATATCCTTGAGTGCCTTTTTATGGCTACTAATCATTTAAAAAGCCATGCATCAAGTAACGAGGTACAAGACAATTTATACAAGGTAAGAATAAGATATGTGCATAGAAGACAAAGAAAAATCATAATGTTCTTTTTCTATAGTATGCTCGTCAATCTTCAATGAGATTTAAAAAGACTTTAGTAGCCAAATCATATTTCTTTATTAAGATATATCATTCAATTAGTTCAATAAATTCTTCAACAATGTCATGTGGTTCTAAAAGTTATAGAGAAGAAATGGTTTAGAATTCTATTGGTTTCATATAAGTTTTGATAGAATAATATATGGGACAAACAATACAATCAAAAAGAAACTAGTCTCTTATGGCTTATGTGGCATTGATGAGTAACTCTAAATGCATGGAGAGGCAGAGTCAACTCAAATGTCCATCAATATTATCCAATTTGCCTTAGAGAGAAAAGAAAAATTGTTCTCTATAGATTTTGGGAGTGTCCTTCAACTGCATAGGTATGGAGGTAAAATACCAAAGTAGTGTAGAAACTAGTCAAGATAGTATTGCATACACTTTCTAATAAACATACATATATTCATAATACTCTCAATATGAGAAGGAGAGGTAGTACTATGGGTGGTATACAAAGGAACAAAACTAGTATCAATTATAGAAGCAATCGAATGAGAAGGGAAGATCAATTTCTATGATACAAAATATACATGATAATAACACTCTCTCCCAAAATATTTTGTGGAAACATGGGATATTAGTACATCAAATCCAACAACAATACAAAAGACTAATTTGACATTGGATACTATTAAGAGGTATAATAATTTAATACCTCTCATTAGAAGGGAATAACACCGCTTTTAATGCATACTAATAGCAAAAACAAAAGCTCTTCAATAAGATGTTGCTAAAATTTCTCAACTAAAGATAAATTATATGGCCCAAACCTTGAGCAAAGAATAACAACAAAACCTCATAAGGTTGAAACTCCATTAGAGAAATTCTAGTTTTCAAGGTGTCTAAATGGAATCATAGCAATACTATATGCAAAGCCTTTAGATGAAAGTAACGAAGTTCTTCTACAACAATATAAATTGATTTAAACTAAGGCCCTAAAATTCCTACATATAAGTTTTAGAAAAGAGTAAAGAGATTGCAAAGCACGTCACTCTAGTATGATTAAATATGTAAAATTTTGATAAACACAATGTATAATTTCACTTGCTCACAATTATCCTATGCACCATCAACGAAGGTCTTTCTAAAGTTTCATCACATCTTAAAAATACATATTTTTCAAGGCATAATTTTTCTTTAGAAACATTAACATGTTCCAATTTCTTTAAAGAATGGACTCTATTGTTTCCCTAATTAAGTAACAATCTTTTATTATTGTTTTTTTAGATATCTTTGACATTGGCTTCTTAACTTTATGTCAATCTTTATCAAAGTTATGCTCTTCCTCTAATATCCCCAATTATTCACAATTTTACAATTCAAGCATGCACATGAAACAACAAGCAAAAAATAACAATATTTACATGGAATTGAAGATCCCTGACTCGCAAAAAGTGACAATATTAAAGTAGAATTGGAGAAAATCATCATGTGTAAAAAAGATCACAAAATTTAAAAATGCATAAAAAATGAGACATGGAAAAAACAATAATGGAAAGCTGCCACTTAATTAGATAATAGGGAGACAATGGACTCCGCTCTATGAAGAAATAGGGACATGTGAATGTTTCTAAAGCCTCGTGAAATATGAGATGCTTGATTGATTAGAGTATCTAGAGCAATTTGATTGATATAGGCTAGGTTTGCTCTACAATTATCAATCTTGCTGCCAGCACATGTTGATGAATAACATGTACTGCTTGTATTGACAAAACATTGCCATCCCAACAGTGCAACTATAGGAGGTAAGCCAAATCCAATGCATGAGGATCATTGGACCAGAGACGGGAGTTGTGCCTAAATTGGGAGCGACCCATCAAATTATCATAGGATCCAGTCATCCACTTCAACAACTTCGCGATGCAGCACATTGCGTGCCACCGGATTGCCTCAAATATGTGGTACGTCTTTTAGTGATACAAAGGGCGTGCAGTTGGGTCTCGTGTGCAGTGTCCAAAATGCCTGATCACCACCCAAGCATCCGTTCAAACCCGCCTCACAGTCGGAATGCTTGCCAAAAACAATTCGTTACGATAACCATTCAGTAGCCTCCACCTAGTAGTCTATATCTGAGACCACAATGTAATTGGAGGTCCCGCTAACCTCAAATACGTCCAGGGAGGGACTTGAATGAAAAAACGGAAACCCTACGGTTCCAGCGATCAAGCAGGCAAAATCTCAGCAAACCATCACAACATGTTGCTGCAGATCATCAGCTTGATGGCGTGCCTCCCCGACACGCGCATAAGGTCGATGCTCTCCTGGAGATCCGCGTCGCACGCCAGCAGCATCCATTCCTCGTCATCGTCCAAGTACTTCAGATTGAAGTTTTGCCCCGCCAGCTTCAACCTCCGCCCTACCTCCTCCTTCAGTTCCACGAACGAGACGTTCTGCGCAAACTTCACGCGCACCGTATCCAGCCCGTACGTCACCTTCACCGTGATAGCCGCGCTGTCTTCCCGCCCGCGCCACGCCTTCTTATTCGAAGTGCCATTCACTCCCGACGACGGAGAGCTGCAATCGCTCGCCGGCGACGACCCGAACCCTGGAGAGTCGAGGCTGCACAGACCTGGACGCCCCGTCACCTCGTCCTCGCCGCCGTTCGCGTGGTTGCACGACGATACGGGATCGTCTACCGGACCATACAACGCATATTGATCCACCCCCTTCAGAGCTGCCATCGCCCCGCCCCCGCCGTGGACCCGGGACTCATTCCACCCCCGCGACGTCGCGGCTTTGATGAAATCCCCAGGCCTTCCCGGGCCACCTCTCCCCGGTACCAAGTGTTCAAGGGGCCTACCCAGAGGCGAAGCCTGCTGGCCTTTTCCCCCACCGTTCACTTTGCCCGCGTTTCCAACGTCCTGGCACGCATTCCCAGAGCTGCGGTTGCCGCCGTGGCCGCCTTCACAGCCTCTGTCCGTGTCGGCGGACGACAAAATGCCACCCGAAGCCAACGGACTCATCCCTGGACGACAATGCCCGCCATTCGAACCATACGCCGCCTTCACATTCGGGTTGCTTCCAATGTTGCTCACAGAACTGCGGTCATTGCTCCTGCAAATGTCGCCGTTGTCCAGCTGCACTCTACCGTGACCACCGCTGGCACCGCTCATCGCGTTCACCTCCAACGACGAAACGATCCTGTCGTCCTCGGGACGAAACTGCAGCGTCGGCTTCAGCATAGACAGCAGCAGCTTCTGAGGAGAGCACGGATCGTGTCTCCGCCGACTCTCCTCCTTCGGACCCAGCAACGGCTCCGCCGATCCCAGCTTCCCGTGCGCCTCCTTCACGTCCAGGCTATTCAGAGATGGCGTCGACCACGACACGGACAGGTTGCCCTGCGACGATGCCGCCATGTCCTTGTTCATGTGCCCGTTCACGGCCGCAGCTGCCACCGCCGCGGACGACAGATCTCCCGTCAGAGCGTTGATTCGCAGAGCTCCCTCCGCTCCCTGCACCGAATCGATCACGCCCTGCAGCTTCTTTAGCGACCTACTCACCTTGTTGATCTTCCGGGAAGGCCACCGGGAGATGCCATGCTGCCGGCATATCCGTTTCAGAGTAGTCGGACACACTGCGCCGAATCAACCACGATGTTACTTAGCAGGGACCTACCACAATTTCACACGGACGCCAGAACATACAGACCTGCCCTTTCTACACAGCTATCCACCAATCTAGCCCTCCCAAGGTAAGGTCACTGCCTCGTCCAAACCGCCCACAAAGTGTCACCGTGATGCCAGCAGCTGGGTTACTACTTTCTCTTCGCACCCGATGCGGCACATTCTCCACTTCCAAAATGGGGCATCAAACAGCATTCAGAACACCATGGTATATCCCCCTCCTAGTAACACAATAGCTCGGATAACTCTACCAGGCAACCAATGCCACTTACCACCAATGCTCTTCGCCGCATCCTTCAGGCTGCCCGCGAAGTACTGTTGCAGCACGTTCAATCCGATCGTCTTCTCCGTCGTTCCTCGCCTTCTCTCAAACCTGCGCCGATGACTAGCCACATCTTGATGCAGGCTCGAGCACCCGAACCCTCCCGTGCCCAACCCGTGCTCCAAACCCATCTGCTCTGGATGGTGGTGCCAGGGATACACGTGCGACTCCAGAATGCGAAGCCCCTCCTCGCACCCTCGCCCCGTCGGCATCCCGCGAGAAAACTGCTGCAACGGAGGCCGCTGCACTGCGCACCGGGCTGCTGCCTGCTGGACTCCGTGATGCTGCAGCACTTGAGGAAATGCCTGGGTCGTCTCCTCACAACCATTACCCCCGCCAGGATGCCTGTTGAAACCGTAAGCGGCCAGCAGATCCTCCTTGTTGCTCACCTCCTTCGCCTCCTCCTTTACCGCTTTGGCCTGCATTTCCATGCTCTCCGCTAACGCCTCCCTCCGCTCCTCCTCCAGCTCCTTCTCGCTCAGAGTCCGCAGACTCTGACAGATGCGCTGCATTGTGATCGACAGCGAGTTCAGCATGACCTGCTGCTTCTCGCTGTCCACGCAATCCGTCGGAAGGAAAAACTCCAGAATGAAGTCCTCGTCCCCGGAGTGCACGCTCCGCAACCGGATGGCCACGGCCGACACCAGCCCGAACAACTTCGCGTAGTGCCCCAGTGGGTACTCATCCTTGCTGAAGCTCTTGACGTCCGAGTCAAAAACCGGCAGGTTCGTGAGCATCGCCTTCCCGGGCACTCCCTGACCCTTTTCTAACACATGTTCCAGACACGCCCGTCGAAAGCCCAACATGCGTGAGTCGCTGACATAACATGGACCATCTCCGTCGACTGTCCGTAGGACCACCTTACTCCTGGAACACCTCCCATTCACCTGCTCCGCGTTGTTGCCCTGTGCCTTCGCGTCGCTCCTACTGCCATAGCTGCACGTAGGAACCCACGTCTGCGCGAAGGGGAGCCTGTGGGCCTCGCACACGGCTTTCAGCACATCCGCCATCTCGGAAAGCGCGGCTTGCCTCCCCCAGGACGACCTCTGCAACGAACCAGCAAAACACCCACCCCGCACCCAAAAACACTCATCAACACCTGCAAATCCCTCCAGTTCGGGTATTACACCTTCTGGCACACCCCTCATCGCTCCTGATCCTCGATCCATGCGGAAACCAGACATAGCAATTTGCACATTTCCTACACCAATAAACCCAAACTACGTGCCAGTAATGCGCACAGCACATCATGAGCACTGCAACTGCGACATAAGACCACATTTTGTTCGAGCCATGCATACCTCCAACGGCGGAGTCTCCAAGCCAACCGGACATGTCAAATTCACAGCCTGCACGCCACACCACAATCTGCCAGCTTAGACCATCTTTACGTAACCACCGAAGCGCACTGGATTCAAGCCGTGCACCGAGAGAGCGGCCACTAACACCTCGTTCAGCAGATCACGTGAACTTGCACCAAAACAAGCAACTCCAAAAATCACTGTTCACCCGCTTACTCACCACCGTTCATCTAACAACACCACACTCCTAACTAGATTGGCTAGCTGGACACCAATTCCCACGTTCCCCCCGTCAATGTCGCTGCTTGTTACCACAACTCCACACACAACAATATGCACACCTACCTGCAGAGCTCGAGCAATGATGTCCACATCAGGACCATACTGGACCTTCTCAGCGCGACCAACCAGCTCGATTACAGCCACGCACTGGTGACTCACGGGGTCAAGCACTGGAACCGCCAGGGATCCCCGTATGTCGCATCTCTGCGCCTCCTTCACACGCAAATACTCCTGGATACTATAATACTGCACGTTCGGCGTCCACTCCACTTTCTGCCCAATGAACACGCGCCCCGGAAGCCCCAGGACCTTCCCCTCCACCCTCTCCGCTGGAAATTCGTAGCTCTCCGACATGCTCCTGTACACCCACAATTGTTCGTTTCTCGGCTCCACAGTGAACGGCTGATCCCGCGTCATCAAACACTTCCGAGTCCCTTGCACCACCGGCATCCACACCTGCACCAGCTCATCCTTCAGAGACCGCCCTATCAACCGAAGTGCCTGCATCATTCGATCGCGCAGCGGCAATGGGAACCCCGCCGAAATTCGGGGCCCCCGAACACCCGCCTCCAGATTGCCGCTGCTCACGGGATTGCCCTCTACCGTCGACAACGAAGACTTCTCTTCTTCTCTATCCACCACGCCACTCTCCCTGATCTCGGCCACCCCGCTCCTACCACCTACGCCCCCTCTTGGATCTCCAACACCCCTACCGTCCCCTGTTATCATTCCGGCGAGGCTCTGATTGCCGGGCATCGTGCGCGCGGTCCCGCTCGGACTAGGGCTGCTGCTGCTCAAAAGCCGACTACCAACTGCCGCACCATAGCTGCTAATTCCAGAAACCGGAGCGCTGGACAAGGGCAGCGATGGAGGTGACGAGCTCGCAACCGGGATGGATTGCTGGCAAGACTCCACAACCTGCTGCAGCATCAACTCCTGCTGAAATGCCTGCAAGCTGGCTGCCATGCTGCCATTCCCGTAAGAGTACATTTGGGCCGACTGCGAGACGGGCGGGGGGCCTGCTGCTGCAAACATGCCTCCATTACACGACGCCGGGTACGCCAAATAGCTCCCGTAGTCGCCATGGTTGTCCCCCGCCCATGTCTCTCCCAGCAATTGCTCGCTCAAGGAATCCAGCTCCATCAGATCCATCAACACCGTCTCGTCCATCACGAACTTGGCCTCCCCTGCACTGCCTCCTCCTAACCCCCCCGCCACCACCACCCTCGTCGCCCCTGTCGCCTGCTGCTGCCCGTGGCCTCCACACTCCGTCGTGCGCCTCGTCCGCGGCCCACACCTCGGATTCGACCTCAAAAGTTCCATTTCTACCTCTGCCGTTTGCTCTCGGGACTCCTCTCAGTTGTTTCTTCCGGCATTCTCCTTATCAAAGACGTCGTCTTGACCCCATTCTCCTACTCCTTCCGTCGTATTTGCAACATCGTATCAGTGGAGGTGTAAACCCGTAATCATCCTTTCCTGAGGGTGGTCCATCTGTTGGGAGAATTGTTCTCTATGGCAACAGTGTGGGTTTTCTTCAGAATTCGCTTCAAACTCCCTGCTGCTGCTTCTAACCACGCATCTTTATTTGTTCGCACCTCAAGGTGATTAAGTTCCTGGTCGTGACTGAATGGAGAATCCTACATGGGTACTATGCTGGGAGGGTGTTTCAAGCCCTCTTCACAGCGTCGGCCCTTTGGAAGAAGCTCCAGTTCTGTTCCTTGCTTGCTTGAACATAGTACCTCGTCTTGCGGGGTATCCCTGTCGAATCTTGTGCACAATCTTTCCATGGGTTTCTTTCACTGATTTCCTTCCACCTCATTTCTTCTCACCCACAGGAACCAAGTGGCCGACATCGGAGGTCTTTGTTTCTTGCCCCTCCACTTCCCTGCTCTTTGTTTGGGTCCGCATTTATCTAGACTCTTAATCTGCATGTAGTTGCATCTAATAGGTTGACAGTTTGAATTCCAGCTTTAAAATTGTACCTTGCCTGATGAAAAACAAAATACGAAGTGAATAAAATAAAAACACTGTAGTTGTTTTAATAAATACATCATGTTATTTTGAGATAGTTTGTCATTTGTTTGGTCTTCTGAATGTAACTAACCCTCCTGACTCCCCTCCTGGAAAATTTCTTTCTATGCTTTGTATATTATTCTGGCCTGGCACTCCAAATTGGCATGTACAGTCTTGGTTCTGAAATTTAGGTTTTATCAATTCTAATAATTCAGATAATGAAGAATCGTATTGTTCAGGTTTCAAGGAATCGGACCTAGAATCCACAGAGCATGGGGTCCAGCCTAAGTATAAAAGAGCTGCCAAGTTCGACTCCATCTACTACCTCAATGAACCAAAACAGTTTTTTGTACGAATCTATTTTACAAAAAATCTGCCAGAAGTATATGTTTTGAAAATGTTTTGTACTCCAAAGGTAGGAAGTTGATATTTTGATTTGTTATTTTATTTTTTAATAAGATTAATTGTAAAATTATGGCATGCAAAGTGGGGGACAATCTCATATATATATATATATATATATATATACACAAATAAATATTAATATATGAATGTTGGAAGAGAATTGAAATACTTAGAAGGCCTTTCCAAAAATAGCAAAAGATCAAAGCATTGTAGTTTTGTATAACTGTTCAATATCTGTTATGCTTCAATATTTCTATTATTTCGATATTATTTTTTAAACCGAAATTGTGATAATTTATTTATCTTATGACATTTTCAAAAATATATTTATCATTAAAAAATAAGTCAAAAAGTATAAATTAATTTTAACCAATAGTTAGTTTATAAATAATTGTATTTTAAAAACTAATTAAAACAAAACAAATATAATCAAATTTTAAAACTAACAATATACACATGATTGCCTCTACTGATTTCAAATTTTAGTGACTCAAATATAAGTCTGATCAAGTGCATGAATTCTTATTATTCAATCAAATTATTTACCAAAATTTAATAGAAGAATTAAATTTTAATATGAAGGTGGTATTTTAAAAATATACATGTATTTCAAACAAACTCTTATAATAGGTAATTTAAGAAGTCTTAAGGCACTACAAAAAATTAAAAATCATATAAAAACATATAATTTTCCATTTTAATTCATTCTTTTAAAACAACTCTTGAAAAATAATTATTAACTCTTAAATCCATGTGAGTTGGTATCACTTGATTCAATTAAGTAATACAAGAAAAAGAAGACTACTATAGATGTGAAGATTAATGCTCAAATTAAAATAACTTAGATCACAAATCATAGAATCCATTTAAAAATAAATAAATTCAAGCTTAAAACTACTAAATAGGTATAATAGAGTTTCTAAAAATTAAGATGAGATACAACATAAAAGTTATTATTTAAAGCCTTATAGGTATTGAATTATTTATAAAAAATTAAATATCTTGTAATTTTTTAATTTTTTATTAATTTAAAGAAACCAATATTGTAAGTTTTATTTTTTAAAAATTAATATTATTTTTGATATCACAAGTGATTATTAAATGATATCCAAATTATAATTTAATTCAATAATTCAATTCTAGCTAAATGTTAATGTATTTTAAATACAAGTAGTTGCAATGATATTTAGTCCTATAGTTGTATTTAATTAAAATTTAATACAAAAATTATATCCTAATTTAATCTAATTTTATATTAAATCAAATATTCAATTATTTTCATTGTAATAACTATTAAATCTAAATTGTAACAAATTTTTAGTAATCCCTAGTATAATCCTAATATCAAGAAATTTAAAGAAAGTATTAATTTAAAAAATCAAGATAAATATAATTATAAATATTTATAAATATAAAAAATTAATTTCAAAGTATTAAAGTAGAAATTAAATATTATATTCTAAAAAAATTAAGTATTAAAAATTACTTTAAAAAATAAAAAGAAAAGAAAAACGTAAATAGATTTTAGATTCTAAAATTATTAAATAAATAATAGTTATAAATAAACATTAATCCAAAAATAATTAATTATAATAATAAAATCATACTTTTTAATCTTTAAAACTTAAAAATAAAATTAAGCAATAAAATAAAATTACTAAGACTTTTGATTCTAATAAAAATTTATAAGAATTGAACTATTTTGATTTTTGAATTTCATTCATTTTCTGAAGCTTATATGAAGAAGAAAGAGATTTTTAACTTTCTTATGTAACATCATTGTAAGAATTTAAATTTCAATGACATGAATCTCAAAAAATCAAATGGTCAATACACTCTTGTGTTACTCAAAGAATAAATAATCACTCAAAGATGATGTAATATTGAACTAAATGGCTATTGCCAAAGACAAGAAAATTATAGTCTCTTGAAATAAGACTAAAGACTAGAAAGGTGTTGACAAGAGAGAATAAGGCTTTATTCTTACCTCTATATATATTATTTAACTAGGAGCTACATAGCAATGTTCTGTAGGACCTCCAATACGTGTCTAATTTGTGAGACACATGTCTAACTTGCAAAATAAGTTTCACATGTGTACTACATGACAAACTTCTACCACAAGAAGCCAACATATGCAACACGTGGCCAATTTATTGGCTTGGTTTTTAACCTACCAATCACCTACAAATACGTATGAAATCAAATTGTGTCTATAAAGCTTTTAAGAAGCTTCTCTAGAAGATATTATCAAATCCATTTATTTCTACTTATTTCTATTTAACTCCTTCATTTACATAAATAGATATATCCTCAATACCAAATTGCTATTGAAATTTCAAATTCTCAAATACTTGATTAAATTTAATCACACAACCATTTAAATAATTCTTATTAAACTTAGCTAAAACTGATAAAATAAAAATTAATTTAGAATTTAAAATTAAAGTCTAATATATTCTTTAGATATTTTAAAATACATCCAAAAAATTTAAAAATTTATACTAAAATATAAAATATTTATTTTTGTAGTTTTTCTGGAATTTTAATATAATAATATGGATAAAATAAATTATATACTTATATATATATATATATATATATATATATATAAATAAAAATTTAAATGATATCATTCACTTAAAGAATTTTAAATATTAACATATTATCTATATATATATATATATATTAAAGAAAATATTAAAATGACTCAAATTTTTACTAAATTGATCTACATCAATGCCCTTGTCTCTATTCTCCCCATTTCTAGTTATCACCCATGTTATTCCTATTTCTATTTGTCACTCTTATTTCAATGTTTTTAGCTGTCACAGCTATTCTTCCATTCCTAACCCTTGTCTGCAACCCCAACCTTATAGCCTTTATCCTCATTTTGATAATGTCAATGCATAGAATTCATAGACTGATCTTGTACAAACCGAGCTCAAAGTTTAAGGTGGCTTAGTAAAGCTTCAAAGTTTGGATCTTGCAATTGAATTAGAGCATGCTAATTGTAAGGAATGTCATAAAGTGAGACAAAATGAAATTATGGAGAAAATCAAGGCAGAAGAATGCAAGTACTTACTTGCAAGTTACAGCATTCTTCATGTTCACTTTTAGACGATCATTTTAAGAATAGATGAAATGAATGCTTCTTATAAGTGGTGTGCTCTGATTCAATTACAAGACCCAAATTATGAAGCTTTGTTGAGCTGTGTTAAACTTTGAGCGGAGTGTATATAAGACCAGTCTATGAATTTGATGTAGTGATGTCACCAAAACAAGGATGGGGGGGCTAGGAGGTTGGAACTGTGGACAAGAGTTGGAGGCGGATTGAGAATGGAGGGAACAACGGCAACAGCTGAGAACAAGGAAACGAGGGTGACGGCTAGGAACAAAAACAATGAGAACAGAGGTTGAAGGAGCAATGATGTAAGTCAATTTAGTAAGCATTTTGATTGCTTCAAATCCTTGTTGTCTTTGATAATGTTATTTATTTTATTTATTTTTTTTTAAAAAAAAAACAGAATATTATTTGATGTGAATACATATAAAAAAAGAATTTGCCAAAATTTGAGTGGTTGTAGAAGAAAAAATCCTATTTATTTGTAAAAATAAAGATATTGACCAACTCATAAGTATATACATGTTTGTTTGTTTGTTTGTTTGTTTTTTTTTTCAATTAGTGATATTCAATTTTGATATTCTAAAAAATTATCTACTTCAATTACATTGTTTGAAGAAATGTAAAAGTTATTCAAACATGCACAAGACCAAGGTTTATATTAGAAATACTTGTGTGAAATTACAATGTTAACTAATTTTTCTTGTGCAATCAAATCTCCAAATATAAATGAATTAAGAGCATGTAAAAAAATATAAAATTTCCAAATATGTTTCATGACCTTGAACTTACAAAGATGCATATCCAACCATTGTGATTATGATATGACTTAAACAAACCACCACTTGTAAGATTCTCAATGGTTAAAACAAACTCTGTCAAGAAGCAAACATGGTCTTTCAACACTTTTGCAATCAACCATCATTTCCAATTCCTAAGTTGTCTTGTGAAGCACTGGCAGACCAACTTATTCTTGAAGCAATTTTATAAATTTTCTAATATTTTAACTTCTTGTATTTTACAGTTAAAAACGAAGAAGGAAAAAAAAAAACAAACAAACAAACAAACAAACAAACAAAAAACAAAAAACAAAATAAAACAAGTGTCTTCTTCAAAAATATATCTTACTAACAAATAATACTTTCCTTAAGAGTAATCTGTAAGGGCAACAATCAAATCTTTTTCTTCTTAAAAAAATAAAACCTCATTTAGAAGCATTGA